AAAAAAAATGGACACAGGAGGTGAATAAACATTTTCCAAAGACCCTAGAGATGGTCAAAAGGTCCATGAAATGGTGCTCAACATCTTTGAAGCAAGGAAATGCAAATCAAAACCACAATGAAGGATCCCCTCACACTGTTAGAATGACTAGCATCAAAAGAGAAACCCTTGTGCACTGTTGGTGCAGCCACTATGGAAAACTGTATGAAGGTTCCTTAAAAGATTAGAACAGCACTTCCACTTCTGGGTATTTATCCAACAGAAATGAAATCACCACCTTCAACAGTTATCTGCACCCTCATGTTCACTGCAGCATTATTTATAACAGCCAAGACATGAAAACAATGTGTCCATTAATGGATAAAGAAGATATAATACATATACTATGGAATATTTACCACGAGAAAGAAAATCCTGCCTTTTGTAACAACATGGATGGACTATAAAGGCATTATGCTACTTGAAGTAAGTCAGAGAAAGACAGATACTGTATGCTCTCACAGGTAGAATAAAAAAAGGTTAATTCATAAAAGAGTACAACAGTAGTTACTAGAGGTTAAGAAGATGGTCCAACAGTATAAACTTACAGTTGTAAGTTCTGGAGATCTAACACAGTATGGTGATCTTACAAGTTCTCAGGACAAGAAAAAAAGAATCATGTAAGACAATATATATATGTATGTGTGTTGGGAAATGATTTCATAATATCAAATCATTATGTTGTATACTGTAAAGTAATAAGTATGTCATTTGTATCCGTCAAACTGGAAAAAACTGTTCAATCTTGCTGACAAGAAGAAGAAAACCTATTAAAAAACTGGTCAGACACCTGGAACTAGGTGTTAATTACAAAAGTGACAAACCACTTTACTCATGACATATTTGATACTTAAAGAATTTAACAGGTTCTATATAATGATTTTCATCTTTAATCTAGAATTGTCAGATTCACCTGGACTATTGCCTGAGAAAGAAAAATAAATAAATAATAAACTGGACCCAAGTTCAGAATCAAGGATTTCACATTAACCAAGGATGGTCATGTTAGGCCCCTCTGAAACAAAACTATCTAAGAAGAGTCAGAAAGGCTCAAACTCCCAGATATCTTCTCCCACTGAGGGCACACTGTGTTCACATCTTCGGTTGCCATTCTTTCTCTCTAGACCCATTCCCTGCCATTAATACTTCATAAGAGCTCCTTAGATAACCTTATTACTAGGGATCTAAAATTCTTAATGACTGATATGCTTACTTACAGGGATCACAGGCTCTGGGTCAATTTGTCCTGCTTTTCGCTTCACTCCCTGGGGAGGCGGTGGGGGCATGGCTGAGTCATCCAAGTTTGTCCTGCTGGTCTCCATCACGGACTCCTGGAGGCGGCTTGGTTCTTCCAAAATGGGCTCATCTGCAATTGGTCATATGAAGAGGACATGTGGATCATACAGTCTTTAATAATATTTTAGAGAATTTACTTTTAATATTAATATATTAAGAGTACTTTTTCTCTAATGAAGAAGGCCAAATAAATTTTTACCACCTCTCCCCCCAACAAATATTACTCAAGTTGTCAATACATTTAAAGGTGGAAAAGGGCCTTAAAAGGACAAGTTTCACCACCTCCAACCCAATGCAGGATAATCCTTTTAGCAGAAGATTACTCAGCCAGTCCTACTTTAAACCTTTCCAAAAACAGAAAGCTTATATTTCACAAAGAAATCGAACGCTATAGTAAGGAATGTATTTCCAGGTCCAAAAATTTGAGTATACCCCTTTGTTCCCGATTTCTTCTACTCTGCCAATATACAGGTAAGTCATCAAGGAACTATTCTAACAGAACATACCGATAACATCACGCTGCTGGTGCTGCTGCTGCTGGTCCTCTCTGGGAACCTCTGGATTTTCAAATTCTTTGAGGAATTCATCCAAATTATCAGCCTCTCCTCCTTTCCTCCTTTTTCTAAGATCTTCTGGTACTAGTGGTGTAAGACAGCGTGTAAAGAGCTAGGGAAAAAAAAAATCTCAATTATAAAATAAAAATCATATTAAAATCCACCACTGACATTTCTATTTTCCATTAAGTACATTTTAATATAGTTGTATGATTTCTACTTCATGTTAAATCCACACTTCATTCCGTCTTAATTTTTAAATACAGGTTAACAAATTATTAAGTACAGCAATTTCAGAAAAATCAATAAAGAAAAACTATCCACTATCCTGTAACCTGCAGAGAACACTAAAATTTTAAATTTGTTTGCCTGCAGTTTATTTTCATATTCATACGCTTACTCTAACTGGAAACATACCAAGTGGTTTTACATATTGTTTTTTTTTCACTTAGTTAATAAGATTTCCATATAATACTATCACTTTTAATTTTAATAACTACTTAATTTTCCACAGAGTGGAGATATATATGTACACGTGTACATACCACATTTGAACCATTTTTTTGCTATTTTGTTGTTGCTCTATTGCAAACACTGTAATGGACCATACTCACAGAAACGGTTTTCCATATTTTGAATTACTTCCTTAGGAATTTTCCTAATAATGAGATCACTAAGTCAAAGAGTAGAAATACCTTAAAGACTTTCTTCCAAATAATTCCATCACTCAGATTCCAATAAATAAATTTTACAATAGCATTGCTGCTCTGAAATACTTTCTAGTAATATCTATCGTAAAATCAATTCTATGCATATTTCAACTTTAGAATAACAGTCTAATAGTACTGATTCACTCAGCATTCTCCACTTTTGGACCTTGTTTTGGAATAGTATGGAACCTAAAATGAGTAGAAAAGAGCCTAGAGATGAAAGTAATTCTTATTAAATAAATTTAAAGCCAGATAGTTTTGTTTTGTTTTGTTTTGAGAGTGAGCAAGTGCACAAGCAGGGGAAGGGCAAAGACAGAGAATCCCAAGCAGGCCTCAAACCCACAAACCATGAAATTGTGACCAGAGTGGAAACCAAGTGTTGGACGCTCAGTGGACTGAGCCACCCAGGCGCCCCATCAGAGAATTCTTCATTCCAGGAAAAGGAGAACCACGCCATGGTTTGGCTTGAAAGCGGTATCTAAGGATTGTAGACTTGAAGCACAGTGTATGCTAAGGTAATAGAATTAGTAATTTATCAGAGAGAGGTTGAGGAGAGAGAATTAAAAACCACAGCAGCTTTTTCATACAGAAAAAATTCCTTCTGCATCTTTTAGAAATGCAGGTGTCAACACAATCTTTCCGATAGGTTATGTTCAGTATATTGTGATTTAAGTAAAAAAAAGTGCCATATAGTTGAAAATACTTGATCAAAAATGATTCAAAAGTTTTAAAAATTAACTTAAAAAAATTCTGCAAACTCTATTACCTTCAGTAGTCTGTTATTCCATAAAGGCTGAGCAGGTAAGGAGAAGAGTTTTTCCACTCCCCCTGTTTCTTTCCACATCATCAATTTCTTGGTGGGTGGTGCCAGATCCAAAGTAGTAACAATATCAGAATAATCACTGAGCTGGGCTCTAATGGTCTTACTATCCAACTCTTTGACACTATCAACAATCAGCTTCCTCTTCCTCTTGGCTTTTGTTTCTTTGACTGGAATGATAGAACAAAATAAGGTCATTTTCCTGTGAGGCCATCATGAAATAAAGAGCCACCAGAGTTGGTCTCATTGTATCCCTGCTTTTCTATACACCTGGTAGAAAAACATCAAGAGGGCAGAATCCGTTTTAACTGATGTTTCTGCAGTACCATGTAGAATAGAGACTGGCATACACAATAGGTGCTTGATAAAAATTTGCTGAATGAATATTTATAGACTTTAGGCACAAAATGAGTAAAATAATTCAAGTGCCAATATATTTTTCCCATGTAGGTTTATAGTGTAAAAAGGAACCTATCATACTTGGTTCAGATCTGGGCTCAAGAACTGGGTTTTGTAATTTATTATTACCCAAGTGACCACTTAGAAAAGTTAACTTCATCTTGCTTATCCCTTTATTTTCTCACTTGAAATAATGCCAACCACTTATAGGAGTTGTAAAATACTTAGTCTTCTGTAAATGGTTGCAATTATTATGATTTTTAGTGGAGAAGTTACAATTCACACATGGCACTTGTACAAGCAGACTGATGAAGTAAAACAAAAGCCCACACCCAGATGGACCTGGAGCTCTACTCTCAATCCTGCCTGTACACTCACTCGTAATCCTTACCAAAAACTCAGCAAAGTAGGCAGCATTCTCTCAATTTCTTAGGCTACAAATTCCTCAACATCACATCCTGTCAGAAATGTTATACCTCCACGATTTTTATGCATAAAACATTCAGGGAGTTCAGAATTCAAGATTCAAAAAGATGTTATACAGTGACAGCCCCTGTACAACACTTATTCTCCAGCTACTGAGTTCCCGTCTCTGAAAGTTGAAGTTCTTAAAACAGACTGCAAATCCTGATTATTATTTTTTTTTTTACTATTTTTTTAGAGAGTGCAAGTCAGGGGGGAGGGGCAGAGTGAGGGGGACAGAGGATCCCAAGTGGGTTCTGTGCTGACAGGCTGACGGTAACGAGCCTGATGTGGGGCTCAAACTCACAAACTGCAAGATTACAACCTGAGCCGAAGTTGGACGCTCAACTGAACCACTCAGGCGCCCTCTGATTATCCTATTTTAACCAGTGCGGTGTACCTATTTTGCCTTATTTATAGCTCTCTACAAAATCGGTCACTAATACAGTACATATTGTACTTACTCATGCTCCCCTAATTAGTACTTAAGTTCCATGGGATAAAGACTTGTTCTTTGTTCTATTTTCAGTTTCTAAATAGATGTCTACCAAGCACTCTTTATATACCAGAAGCCCAAGGCAATTTTTGGTGATCAAATTCTAGTTTTAGGTAGAAAAAAAGTTTATCTTGTTCTATTTAAAAGTGATAGCTGTATCCTGAATTATAGTGTAACTAATTTCAAGTATTCACCCCAAAGTACCCATAAACCATCTAGAAATTTTAGTTTCACATCTAATTTACCAATCTTAAATTGCCCCTTTTATTGAGAAACAGCACCCCAGTATGTTTGGCTTTGTTTCTTAATAAGCACTAAAAGTGCTTATTTTAGAAATCACATTTCCAGTTAAAAAAATAAAAATAAAAAAAGAATATGCTTAGCTTTTCCCAGATTGTAGCCCAACTCTACAGAACCTAGAACTTTGGAAGGTAATCAATCTTGTAAAATGCCTTGTAATGTTTTCTAATTGTTACCTGTGATCTTTTTTGGGAACCCCCAAAGACTAAGATACACGTTAGCAAAAAACGTGTTCTCTATATTTCAGAGCGACCTGTACAGATATTCTGTAAGATATCTGGATTATAACTGAAGATTCTATAATAGATACCTGACAAAAAGAAAGAAGCTTAGTTATCTAAAACAAGAGTAGCAGATTAGCGAAGAGCAGCCAGAACTAGGACCTTATATTCTAAATTTTATATGTTGAAAAAGTCTGTTTGCTCACCAGTGATATCAATAGGTTCCAAAGCAAAGGCTTCTTCCTCATTTGGAACAAGTGTTGTCTGATCAGTCATAGTTGGCATTGGTTCAACAGGATCCACCGAATCAGGACTATCAGGCCCACCCACTATAAAAACAGAAATTTGGTCACAAAAGCCTTGCGTATGTAATACATTTCCTACAAATGGCAGGACAAAATCCCCTTGAGAAATTGAAAGAAACCCACTGGTACCAATAACCAACACTTTTCTAGTTATGAAGGAGTTGCTCCAGACGTGAACCCTACTGGCCACAAAAGTGGAGGGACAGAGTTAAACATGAAAGAGAGTAAGAACCAAACACTGTTTTTAAGAAGATTTACAATTCATTAAAAGCTGGAACTTTTAGTTTACGGTCGTCTACATTAAATACCTTTCTAGCTACCATATAATCATGTCCAGGTCACTGAACAGGAAATGCTTACTTGATACGTTATCATCCTCATCCATATCATCATGTGCAGGCTGTTCTGGCAACATCACACCTGCCTCAGACAGGGCAGGGGGATCGTCAAAGATACCACCATCATTATTACTTATAAGTTTGTCATCTGAAATAGGGAATGTAATTTAGTTATAACTTGAAAAAGAAATGCTAAAAGAATAGCTAATCACTAGGAAATACAATTATATGAAAATCAACCAAATTAAAAAACTTCAACTTCCATCTGTTTCTCTTCAAGGTAGCATACGAAAGTATAAAACCATATACAAAAAAATTTCTCATTCTTAATTTAGATTTTCTGGTTCATATCTCTATTTAAAACATATTTACTTAATATAGATATCAAACACAAATAGAGAAGTTTTAAGAACTAGTAAACCTTAACACTCTGAGACAAGCACCTTTAAGAAAATCAGGTACATCATATTTTTAGGCTAGTTTCAGAGAATTTCAATGAAATCAAATGGTCACAATTCACACATCTGTACCCAAAGAGCTGCTTAAGGCATAAAATTAGTGACTGCTCTAAAACACCACAACTGAACAAGGAAATGTTAAAATAACCACCTTGTTGTGACCTACCTAATATACCACCATCATTTCCTTCTCCAAAATTGTCATCCTTATATTGGTCTTCATATTCTAAATGGTTAATTTTCTCATTCAGATTGCTGGTGCTCTGTTCAGGCTCTAACAGGAGGTTAGAAGCGCTAGTGCTCACTAACATGTCGTCATCCTCAAAAGCGCTGCCTTCTCTCATTATCTCACGATCATCCATTCCAAAGTCGCCTGAACAAATTTTAGTGATAAGGTAAACAAAGTTACAAACATCACTGTTATAAAAGAAAGCACCTAACGATTTATGATAATTGTGATGCCACATCTACTTATGGAAGTCTTACTTGAGTATTAAAACATCTAGTTTAAACTTTAAACCTTTAGCATTTATATTTCATAAACTGATTCTGGGGCATGACTAGCAAATTCAAAAGTAGGATCCATATTTACATCATCTTAAATATATCAGGTAAATTTAACTATGTATGTAGGTTAGGTCGCATAAATACTCAGATTTTGTTACAATGTGTTTTCATCAAGAAAATACTTCTGCTAACTTGTTTTAAACACTATTCAAAAAGAGTAGTAGGTACATAATGAAATTGGATTTTGAGGACTTGAGAAAAGAGAAATATACTACAATATTATGCTAGAACGGTCATCTCTGTACAACTTTCTCAATTGGATGTTGTGACAATGACCCTTTCTTGCTCTTTAAGTTAGCTTGGCAAAGAGGATAACTGTAGATGACTTTAATATGTACCTCCAGAGATCCATACATAGGTTCTATCACTGTGTATGGGGGGCAGGAGTAGACGAAATCAAGTTTGGTGCATAAATGGAAATGACGGTTCATATACTGGTAGGAAGGCAAATTCTTTTTTTGATGAAAATACAGGAGATAAAATTTTTTCTGTCATCATAAATGTAACATATGTCTGGGTTTTCTTTTTCAAATTGCTAGTAGTGCAACAACATAATTCTAACATTAGCTAGTGTCTAGTGATCTGTTTCTCTATTACCAAAATCATTTTCTTGTAGAATACTGATGTTCCCAACTTCTTCTCTCATGGTTATTTCTTCCACTCTACTCTGGTTCAGGCTGAACTGCTGGGCCACATCTATGTCACTTTAAAAGAATTTCAAATACATTTTAGTCTCAAGTCTTACTGTAACGCGTATACATATATACATATATATACACATATATACATATATATACACGTATATATACGTATATATATGTATGTGTGTGACACGCAGTATATATATATATATATATATATATATATATATATATATATATATAAAATCCTAATTCTCTCTATAAGGAAAAAACATGCACACAAGTTATCATGGTTTATAAGTCTTTTTTTTTAATTTATTTTTTATTTTTAATTTTTTTTTTTATGGTTTATAAGTCTTAATATAGAATGCTCAAATACACCAAATAACCCAGTTTTTTTTTTTTCAACGCTTATCTGTTTTTGAGAGATGGAGACAGAGTACGAGTGGGGAGGGGCAGAGAGAGAGGGAGACACAGAACTGGCAGCAGGCTCCAGGCTCTGAGCTGTCAGCACAGAGCCCGATGCAGGGCTCGAATCCATGAACTGTGAGATCGTGAACTGTGAGATCCCAACCTGAGCTAAAGTTGGGATGCTTAACTGACTGAGCCACCCAGGCACCCCTACAATTTAAGAATTTTAACAGTGATTTGGAATTTATTTTGTATGCTTATTTAATATAAGGACCGCAGGCAAAGAATATGCTGAAATCACTACATAAGGTAATAGAGTATACAGAGGAAAAACTTAGAAGTGCATGGTCTAGACAGGCATGAGTTTTCACTAGGTTACTGTGAGAAACTATACATGCAACACTGAAGCTACCCAGCTTTTCTGAGACTTTCTTCTTCTAACAAATAATCTCTATTATTTAAAAAATATTAAATAAAAAACATGTAACATTAAACAATGTAGAATATCAGGAAAATTCAGAATGTAAATGCTCCAAAACATGTTTTTTTTTTTTTTTTTTTTTTTTTTTTTAGCAAATGCCAATAAAAACACAAGAGACTTCTGAAACATACCAACCAAATGCAGCTTACAGAATGTGTACAGACCCTAACTTAAATTGGGGGAAAAAGGCCTATGTGTCAACGGGGGACATTTGAATGCTGACTGGATATCACATTAAAGAAATATTGTATTTTTAAGATGGGATGTTGTTATGGATATATTTATAAAATTCCTGGGGCGCCGGGGTAGCTCAGTCGGTTAAGTGTCCGACTTCGGCTCAGGTCATGATCTTAATGGTTCGTGGGTTCGAGCCCCATGTCGGGCTCTGTGCTGACAGCTCAGAGCCTGGAGCCTGCTTCAGATTCTGTGTCTCCCTCCCTCTCTGCCTCTTCCCAATTTGTGCTCGCTCTCTCTCTTTCTCAAAATTAAATGTTAAAAAAAAAAAATTAAAAAAAAAAAAATTCCTTACCTCAAAAGAGATACATACTGAAGTATTTACAGAGAAAGGAAGATCTATATTCCTTAAAACAATCCAGTGTGCGTTGGAGGTTGAATTGGGGAAATACATATGAAATAAAACTGGCAACATATTCAAATTAAACAACAGTGCATGGGGTTCATTATACTAATCTAATTTTTGGCTGTTAAATTTCCATGATAAAAATTTTTTAAAAATGGAAGTTTAAGAGGAAAAAGAAAACAAGAAAGGAGCTAGATAGCACCTAGCATTATTTCACACACACACAAAAATAAATCAGAATTAGGAGTCATAGATCATTTTACAAAGCAGAAAAATTTGTCAAAAAAAAAAAAAGGGGCATAGTGTAAGAGTTTTCTGGTTGTCACTTGTGCTACTAAATCACATGGAAAGTTATAGGCACATTCCCTGTCATGGTAACAGCTGGATTTTGAGGACTCGAGAAAAGAGAAATATACTACAATATTATGCTAGAACGGTCATCTCTGTACAACTTTCTCAATTGGATGTTGTGACAATGACCCTTTCTTGCTCTTTAAGTTAGCTTGGCAAAGAGGATAACTGTAGATGACTTTAATATGTACCTCCAGAGAAAAATCATGAACCAATAGTTCATGTTTACTAATATCCTTATGTAAAGCACAAACCTGGGAAACTGTTTACACAAGCTTTGGCCTAAGCACATGTGAATTCTCCTAACTTAGCTTTGTTAAAGTTGACATCTGTACAGTTTTCTTACAGAAGAAACAATTCTAGGTTATATGTTTCATATTTATACATTATCCTAATTGAAAGCTTATACATTTGAGCCTCATGTTAATTTGGTGTCAAAACATTCCAAGGAAGAGGCGCCTGGGTGGCTCGGTCGGTTGAGCGTCCAACTTCAGCTCAGGTCATGATCTCAGTGTTGGTGGGTTCGAGCCCCGCGTTGGGCTCTGCACTGACAGCTCAGAGCCTGGAGCCTGCTTCCGATTCTGTAACCCCCTTTCTCTGCACCTCCCCCCTTGCACTGTGTGTGTCTGTCTCTTGAAAATAAATGTTAAAAAAAAAACATTCCATGGAAAACTATACATTTGGAAACCAATAATGTTATTTGTAGACCAAGTCAACAATTAAAAGAGGGAGAGACATACTCTAAGTCAGGCAGTGGCTGATCAAAGTCATGAAATTCTTCAGGTAAGGTAATAGCATTGTAAGCAGCTTCTCGATTTTCTTCAGGTAGGTCAACAACACCTGGAAAGGAAATGGTAAGCTTGAAGGCCTGGTTATATCACAGGTTATCTAGGGATGAGAGGAAGGTAAAGTCAGTATGATCTCCTAAGGTTATAGTCCTGAAAGATTGATAATGTATGCAAAGTACCACCAAAGCTCAAGTACTTTTGTTTTTCTATACTCATAAGCCAAATTACTTGCTTTCCAAAAAAAGTCAAAGCACTAATAATGCATTAAGGTGGTGAGTCTTGAAAAGGACATGACAAATAAATATTAATAACAGTTTTCTTCATAAACATGACATTTATGAAGAAGGGGAATGACTGGAAAGGAACACCCTAAATATCAAGAGGAGTTGGTTATTTTAGGGTAAGTGGGATTACATTATTTTGGTTTTCCTTATATTCTTCAGTGTATGCTAAAAACGCATTGCTTTAAATAAGGAAAAATAAAAAAGCATGGTTACTTAAGCAAAATGCAATTTATCTACATGTTAGAAATCATTCAAGTACCATAGCCTCTACCTAAACAATTGGCTTTTAAATAAAATCTTAGATCTCAAAAATCTCACTGTTCATATGTTAAAATAAATTGAAGTAGTAAAACATAACTTCGGTAAAAACTACCATATAAGGCATCTCTTCATTATTTTAATTAGAATAAAATTCCATCATTGTTTTAAAAATTACAAAATGACATATGAATTCAGATATCATAATTATTATCTATGCAGATGGAAATTTGGTTGCTAGAATCCAGTTTTAGAGCCAATCACTACCTAAAACAACAAAACACTATAAAGAATGTTTAATAAAAGTCTCAAGTTAAAAGTGAATTTTAACAATATGCTAAAATTATTTGGGAAAAAAATTTTAAATCCTAAGATTTTCTTAAGTTACATTTAAAAAATTCATGTAACAATCAGCTTTCAACATTTCAACTCTGACTCAGTTCTATGTAAGATAATGAAAAGGCATTTAAAAAGGGGTGACTGCCATAATTCCATATGTACGACTGAAGTGGGTTTCTTCCCTTGAACCACTGCCTCTCCAAGCCTAGCCCTGTTTTTGAAAGGTTCCCCTGTATTAATATTAGAACAAAACAAGTGGAACTAGAATATAGGTTTTGCAATTTTTCATACTGCATGAGAAAATCCAAGGTTAAAAAAAAAAAAAAAGTCAACAATACCTGGCCGAAAAGCCATCTTTATCTTAATGAATGCTTCATTACAGTCTGCAAGGAGATATTTGGCTTTTCTGTGATAGATTCGAACTACTCCCAGTAAGAGATGTCCTGATGTTCGGAGCGCCATCTTCACCTAGGAATAAAACATTAATATTGATCTAATTTACAAAGTTAATATTTTTTGTTTTAGAGGTAATCATACTTCAAAGCTTGTATTCTGTGCAATTGATGGGCAGTTTTCACTTTCTCTCTTCATACTTTTAATCATTTATTTGAAGTTACCTTATAAATCACCTATAATTATTTTACTTGTGCCTTTACCTGTAAATTTCGAGTATCTGTATTGACCAGGACTAGACTAGCAGTAATTCATGAGTGAACAGACACAAAGGTAGCTATGCAGCAGGTACCAAGGCATCCCACAGACTGCCATCATAAGCACATTAAGGAATGTGTGGCGCTTTTGTTTGCCAATCCAGAGCCATTGCTCCTTGCTAGCTAGCTGAACTCTATTTTGTCCGCGGAGTGAATGTTCTCAGCCTTGAAGAACTGTCTCTTTCCTCTTTGCTAATGCTTTTTGAGTGGGCACATAACCCAGTTTAACCAACAAGAAAAAGTATAAAGTATGTCAGCTTCTAAGAGAGATTTTCCCAATAAGAAAAAGAACGCCTCTCTCTTTTTTCCCTCCTGTGTTGTGAGCAGTGGGGTTTGGAGCTGCTTGTAATCATGAGGCTGTAAGTACAAGAACAAGAAGCCAACAGGAGACTGGTGAGTCCTTAGATGAATGACATCATTGAATGAACTCAACTAAACCTGAATCTTCCTATCTCTAAACTTCTAATTAAGTGACTGTTGATTTCCTCACTGTTTAAGACCTTTTTCACTGAGTTTATCGGTTGACTGGAAGGCATAATAACAGTTGAAAGGTAATGGTAACCCATCTTTTTTTTTTTTTGTTTACAAGAAAATATACTCTTCAGCCCGTTTTTTTTTTTTCCCCCCTTTCAAGGTAGATCTCAATCAATGCTTGTGTGGGATGAGATGCAGTAGTTGGGAAAAGAAAGCGCAGTAAACACTCAACTAAACAGCATGATTCACAATTCCTCTAGCTAGAATATGGAAAAGTTTTTGAGAACAAGACAACATGAACTCAAACTTTCCCAGATTATTTTCCAAATCATACCATAGATCTCAAATTCTAAGGTAGCAAAGAAAGCTGTTAATCATTTGCTTCAAATATAATTAGTATGTTACTTATAAAATGTTACTTATAAAATGTTATGTTACTTATAAAATGAAACACTGTATTTCTCAGTTATATATGTACTGTCTATAGCAGCCTAGGATTCCATTTACAAGGACTCTGAGGCTCTGTCTTTATGGCAATTTCACATGACTTACAACATAAATTATGAAAGTTACTGCTATTCTTAGTATATCTAAAATTAAAAATTTGTGATCAAATCCAGGACTTATCATCCTTGATATGAAAAGACCCAATTAAAACACTGTTCCTAATGGAAAGAAAGAATCTACTTTTATGATGTGGTCTTAGAAAATTTAATATTGACTGCACCTTTACCTAAGAAAGGAGGAAGGATTTAAAATTAAAACCCACTGCATGCCATTATCTTGTAAAGAATTGGAAACTTTTTAAAAAGGTGGTGTTTGGGCAAAAGATTTCTTTTTGGATGAGTCTGGCTCAGAGTTTAGCAAAGAAGTAGGTAATATGAAGTATGGCCCTTTTTACTGTTGAGCTAGCCCATGTTAAGAGTATAGGTGTAATATGGAACACAGGTTATGTACCCAGGGAGAGCTCTACAGAGGCTACCAGTGGCTGTTCAAACAGAGGAGTGTCGTGAGGGGGCAGAAGCCACACGGTTACAACTGAGCTGTATGTCTGACGCTTGTTCTAAAATCCCTCACAAGAACTGGACAAGAGCAAACAACAGACATTTTTGAGTTAGCACACCTGTGGAAATATATATTCTATCAAAATAAAACAAGATCAATCATAAAAACCCACTTAGACGGGTGCCTAAGTGGCTCAATCGGTTGAGCATCCAACTCCTGATTTTGACTCGGGTCATGATCTCACAGTTTGGTTCCTGAGGTTCATGAGTCAGAGGCCCACATCAGGCTCTGGGCTGACAGGGCTGAGCCTGCCCGGAATTCTCTCTCCTTTGCTCTGCCCCTCCCCCACTCACACATGCTCTCTCAAAATAAACACTGAAAAAAACCCACTTAGAAATGGTTTTTAAAGTAAGTTGTTCTTTCTCACACCCTCCACAGTTTTTTACATTATTCTTGAACTGTATGCTTTACTTTGTGGCAACTGCTACATACCTTCACATATCAGATTATCTTGTATTCTTTTGTAGTGTCCCTAAAGGTGTACAAAGTACTCTGCACATACTATGAAAAAATGTTATCCTTTTAAGCCAAATCACCCTCAATATTTGCTTATGGGTGTTAAAGATTAGTCACACATATCAATTTCAAGAAAAGAGCTCAACTTCTCCTTTTTCCATTCACTTCCCTCAGTAAGCATACCTATAAAAAGTAGAAAACCTCATATTCTCATACAATTAGACCAGCAGTGCAAACTGGTACTATCTCCCCACAGAGCAAACTATTAATGCATGTCAGAAATATACCACCTGGCCCATCATTTATCTTCCTAAACATCAACACTAAGGAAAAATTTACAGATGGGAACAAAAGATCAATGAAAATGCAAGACTGGTTTTGATGTATCCTAACCTCACATAGTAAACAATCCTGAGTCAAAAAAAGAGAGGGGGGCATCTGGGTGGCTCAGTCGGTTAAGCATCCAACTTCGGCTCAGGTCACGATCTCATGGTTTGTGAGTTCAAGTACCTTGTCTGGCTCTGTGCTAACAGCTCAGAGCCTGGAGCCGGCTTCAGATTCTGTGTCTCCCTCTCTCTCTCTGCCCCTTCCAGGTTCGTGTTTTCTCAAAAATGAACAACAACAACAACAAAAAGCCCACAGATGTGACCAAAAGATTTTGCAAGCAATGTTTATTCAATGGTTATTTTTTAAAAAGAGGAAAATAAACCTGTAGTCCTACCAAGTAGAAAAATCTTTGTAATTTTAATGGTTGCACAGTACAGGACCAGTGGAATTAAAATTCAAAAAATTAGGAAAAATTATAGATTATCTAAAAAAGACACTGGTAAAATAAATAATGTATAATCGAAACAATGAATTACAGGTCTATAATCTTTTATGTTAAATCCTTGGGGCCAAAAGTGTTTTAGAATTAAGAGATTTTTTATTATTAAGGTAATACAGTGCATACGATATATATATTAAGACATTCCCAGGATCATCTAATTCGAGCTGTTTCCAATAATCATTTACATTAGTAGTTCTACAGTGAACATATGAATACACAAATGACCTGTTTCTATGTTTTGCATTTAAATTCTGTGGATAAGAGACCATGACACTATACAATGCAACCATGAAAAATGATGGTAAAGTTATGAACAGAGCTTTTCCTGAATGTAGTCTTGTTATAAAACATATAATGCAGTTAGTGTATACATGCTTATGTGTAAAATATATGCACACATTTTAAATGCATACCAAAATACTAAAACTTTCTCTAGGTGGTAGGACTAGAGGTCACCTATTTCCGTTAGTAAACTTTTCATTTTATAATTTTTCACTTTACATCTTAGAAATAATATGATAGAAATTTCCTTAAAACCAATAAATGCCACCAAATTTAACTCTAAAACCAGCCAAAATTCTGTAGACAAGTGGAAACTCTGTAATTTAGCTCTCATTACACATATAAACTTTCACTTTTCTCTCCTAAAACATATCCTCTCCCACACGACTTTTCTGAACAAGTCTTTTCTAGATCCCAGCTTTATTCATCTCGGATCCCCTTGCTTCTTCAGCAATAAAGAACTACCCTTATTTATTTAGCACATCATGGCAGCCAGCATCATCCAAACTGCCAATTCTAAGAGTAGCTCTCAATGCGGTCCAGACAGTTGTATGTGGACTATTTTCTCGACAGGACAACTAGAGTGCATATGGGTTAATACAAGGTCCGCAAAAGGACCTTTAAAACACAGACGTAATGTGTGTGTGTGTGTTGTATCATATTTAAGGACTTTTCCTTTGAGATTACTCCTTATACATTTTGAAGTCAACGTTATCTGTTTCTCAACAAAGTGTTAATGATGTTAATACCTGTAATTGTGTATGTTGTAAAGGTCCTTTCTTGGCAACACAAAAAAACATGGATTATTTCTAGTTACACTGTTTGTGAAATCCAAGGGTAAAAACCACTGCCTCAGAACAGTTTCACAGGATGTTAATAAAAGCTCCTCTAGGAACAGAGCCGTAAACAAGGCAGATAAGGTAAGGACATTCATGAGGCTTCCATGCTAGTGGGAGACACACAATAATTAAATATTTAGGAGAAGAGCACAGCAAGTATAAAAGTTCTGAGACAGGGAAAAAGCTTGATATCTTTAAGAAACAGCAAGTAGGCTTGTGGAGCAGAGGAGGTACAAGAGTTATGGATACTATTTACTAGATGGCTACGATAATTAGATCTGATCCCTACAACAGTTTCTAATTAAAGGGTCCTTATTTTGAATATTTTATAAATTCCCAAATTAGAAACACCTATACACATGTTTAAATACAAAAACATCTAGAAATATATTTGGGTAGTGTCTGATCTCACGCTGATCTACCATGAAAACAGGCAAATGAAAAGATCTGTGCACTTACAGAATTTTTAAAGGGAATAACATACCAAACTAGAACTCTGGGTAATCTAGAAATTTTTCTTTGCCCCCAAAGAAGACGTAAACCTAAAAAGCTGTTTTACAGAATTGTTTCACATATCAATAAACAATTGACAAAGTGAATAAAAATATCAACGACAAACATACCTTTGGTGAGATAATACTCTCCACACTGCTCTCTAAATTACACTCAAACACATGGGCTTTGGTTAGCTTCTTATCCCAATGGGCCGCTAGCCAAATTTTGGCCAGAGGCCCTCTCTTACTGAGGACAAAATGTGCGTAGAACATTGTTCCGGCTGATTATGAAACAGGAGGAAATCTGAAAGGGAAAAAAAGTTAATATAACTACCATATGAAAACAAACATTTATCAAGACATAGAAGAAATATGAAAATAAAAGTTTCCTATTCTTTTTAATATGGAATCATGAAAGGTGGAAGAAAGTACAGTATGCATTTATGAAAACAATCTACTGTGTTAGTTTTGAGAGGGCAAGAAAAAGACCCCAAAATAGCAGCTGAAGAGAAAAGGGACAAAAGAGTCAAATCATTTTCATACCCAAAATAAAAGGGCCATTTTTTTTTTTTAAGTAAAAATTGTCACCAGAAAACTCTTTTCCATTTTGAAGTTCCATCAAGTGTTCATTCCATTCCTACCCTGATCACTGACTGTGGAAAAGAGTCTGCCTCTGGCCAAAAAAAAAAATTCTTTATTGCAAGAAAAGTATGTCTAAGAATACTCAGGAACAGATATTAAACAGTGTGTAAATTTCCATTTTTAGAACCCCATTAACAATGGATTCTCAGCTAGATGCTTTATAGGATAATTGCTACCTCATGACAAGTACTGTGCTAATAAGTATTTCATATTGTACCAGATAAAAGTAGGTGGGTTGGTCCACCTTTACAGGTGAGTAGTTTAGAAAAGCTGAGGCTTAAAAAAGCATTATATATATAGTTTTTCCAACTCAAGAACTTGAAAAGCACTTGTCCAATTATAATTTAAACACTAACAGGACACTGTATCAGGACAATGATACAGCGTAACATTTATCTTATGACTGAAATAGTCTTAGTGGAAATACAAGTGCACATTTTTCTTTTAGCAAGCTATGTGTTGATATAGAAGGAAAAAAAAAGGCACCCTAAAAAATCCAGTTTATAGAGTACATTAACTGTGTATGTTTCCTTCATTTCCTGTGTTGATATTTCCTTTATTTATTTACCCTTACATAGAAGATTAAAAAAATCTATTTCGCCAGATGAATTTCTTTTTTTAAAATGTCTACGACTACAATAAGATATACAAGTCATGTTTTTACAGAAATAAACTCAAGCACACCCATAGCACATGAAAAGTACATAAACATTTTTACAACAGTTTTTCTCTTGAAATAATTATAGGTTCACAGGAGTCCCAGAAATAGTAGAGAGGTCCCACTTACCCTTTAACCAGTTTCCCCCAATGGTGACATCTCACATACAGTATCAAAACCAGGACACTGACATTGGTGCAAGTGTATGTATAGTTCTATGCCATTTTATCACATGTGCAGATTTGTGTAACCACCACTGCAAGTGAATAAGATACAAAACTAGTTCATCAACACAAAGCTCTTCCTCTCTATCCTTTTTAATTGTCACCCCCATTCCTTCCTCTCTACCATTCCTAAGTCCCAGCAACCACCACTCTTCTTCATCTCTAACTTGGTCATTTTGAGAAGGTCATATAAGTAGAATCATATAGTATGTGACTTTTTGGATTCAGCAGTCTAACACTCTTTTTGAGATCCACCCAAGTTGTTGCAAGTTATCAACAGTAGTTCCTTTTGATCACTGAGTAGCATTCCATGGGATAGAGAGGTACACCACTATTTGCTTTGTCAATCACCTATCCAAGGACTGAGGCTGTTTCAAATAAAGCTGCTATAAACACCTGTGTATATAGACTTTTGGTGAACAGAGTTTTCATTTCTCTGGGGCAAAAGTCCTGAAGTATGATTGCTGGGTAGCACGACAAGTGTATGTTTATTTATTTTTTTCATGTTTATTTTGAGAGAGCACATGCATGTGCATGCAAGCGGGACACAGGCAGAGAGAGAAGGAGAGAGAGAATCCCAAGCAGGCTCCAGGATGTCAGCACAGAGCCCAATGTGGGGCTTGATCCCCGGAACTGTGAGATCAATGACCTGAGCTGAAATCAAGAGTGGGATGCTGAACTGAGCCACCCAGGTGCCCCTGTATGTTTAGTTTCAAAAGAAACTTTAACATCATGCCTATTGAAATCC